GAATTGTCTTATTTATTTCATTATAGTGAGGAAAAGCTGACAAATGTATCCACTAACCTATTAATCCATGAATGTGCCGATCTACTAATGAGGGGAGAGAACTCGTGATCCAATCGTTTTCCCTCCTTCAAATGCCATTAATGTACATATTTGGGTATTAACTTTCCCACTCATGAAATCTGGGAGACACGTTCAAACCATAGTAACAAATAATAGACTGCTTATTTTCACTGTAGTACTATCAAACACAATAGGATATGATATTTTCTAAAATTATTTTTGACATTAGATTTGTAATCCATCTGAAATTATTTTATATCATGTGAAACATGGAGGAAGATTTTTTTAAAAAATATTTTTAAATGTAGAGTTGTTCAAAACCATTATTACCAAGATGTCAGTGCTCTGTTATGTCACATTACATGGAGCATTCGTATTTCTCAACTTCCTGATTTCATCCATTTGACCACTTTGTGTTGACACCATATTGTCCTAATTATAGATTTGCAATAATCCTTACTGTGAACTAGAAGATATCCTTCCATTTGTTCAACAGCAAGTTTATCTAGGATGTATTTTGGCACTTGCATATGTGTTTTATAGTTGGTTTATCAGTTTTTTAAAAATATTCATTGAATTAAATTATCTACTTGGAAGATATATTTGAACTAACAAATTTTCCAAACCTGGCGCTGACTCCAATTATTTAGATCTTCTCTCATTTCTCTCAATTTCATTTTATCATTTCCTAGAGATCAGTCTTATATTACATACATTTTTAGGTATTTTTATGTTTCTAATGCATTTTATGAACATAATGAATTTACGTTTGTTAACCTTCTGTCAATAAACCTTCCTAAAATCACTTAGTAAATTGTATTATACATTTTTGTTTTGTCTATATAAATCATTTTTATCTGTAATGACACTTTAATTTCTTCTTTTTCAATCCATGCATTACATATGTCTCCTTTCCTCTTAATTCACCAACTAAAAGTTCTTATCCATTACTAAAGAGCACAGGTGAGGGTGAGTGATTCTTAACATTTCACATTTGTCAATTATTTTTCAAATACTGGTACCAGGGTGAATATACCTATTTCATTAAAAAAAAAAGGAACATAATTTAGAGGGGGAGTGCAAAATATGATACATTATGAAGGGAAAGGGGAGGGACACATCTTCTTGGAATATAAGAAGGAAGATTGAATATAGATTTAGATTCAGATAATTCAGCAGTTAACAAGCACTGTGAGTTCTCTTGAACATTCTGATTTCAGTAATTCTGGAGTTTCCAAGTGCTGTGATTTGAAAAATACAGCACTAGTCTTTGTAGCTTTCATTCAACTCTTATGCAAAAATGTGTCTATGTAATCAATCTGAATTATTAAAGTAAAACCACAAAAATTTTCCTAATATTTTTCATCTTTGACCACCTAAATTCATTTCCATTAGTTCTTAAATCATGTTCTCTCTCTCCTCTCTCTCTCCCCTCTCTCTCTCTCTCTCCCCTTTCTCTCTCTCCTGTCTCTCTCCTCTCTCCTCTCTCTACTCTCTCTCTCTCTCTCTCTCTCTCTCTCTCTCTCTCTCTCTCTCTCTCTCTCTCTCTCTCTCTCTCTCTCTTTCTCTCTCCTCCTTCTACCCAGATTATGCAGGGTATCTGTTCCACTAGTGCCCCAACAGATGGCATGCTATACTGTATTCCTTCTATCCACCCATATTAAGTAAGGCTAATCTATGTAACTAATACAGTACTTTATTAACTGACAGTGTGCAGTACTTAATTAAGGGTGCATGACTAATGGTGTTAACTTTCCCCTTTGCTCTATCTTAAATAACTCGGTGGGGGGGATCGCACACCATATTGTGGGGACTCTCAAGCAGCCTTCTGGAGGCTGTGATCTCTGGGGCCTCTTGCCAACAGCCAGTGTCAACTTGCCACACGTTTTAATTAACTGTCACAGATATGAGTCTCCCAGACTCATTTAAACCTTAAAATAACTCCACCATTTGGAAGGCAAACTGAAGAGAGACACAGTCAAAACCACATACCTGCAGGCATTCTTAATTCTGATATGCACAAACTTGAGATATAAGAATTTATTTAAAACCAGTACATTTTTCTGGGAACAGTCGTATATGCCAGTAATCCCAGCACTCAGGAGGCTGAGGCAGGAGGAGCACCATGATTCTGAGGCCAGAGTGGGCTACATAGTGAGGTCAAGACCAGCTTGAAGTATCTGGCCAGGCCCTGTGTCATAAATAAATACATAAATAAATAAAACAAAATAAAATAAAAATTAAAATAATCTAGCAAATTTTGAGTTATTTCGTTGAATAGCAACAGATAACTGGTAAAATACCCTTGCTATTTCCTACTGTAGGAGCAGCATTTTCCTTATCATTCCATTGTAATTGCTTATGTCCTTACTCATTGAAAGTTATGTGAAAACAAACCGAATTTCTTTTTTGCTTGTAATTATAAGTCAAGACTTAGTACTGTGACTGTCAAAAAAAGGAATATTAAACACCAAGAGTACAAAAGGGAGAGAAAGACATCTCCTTCCATTTGACCAGAATCAATAAACATGGATGGCCTTCATAGCTTTTCCACAGTATCCATCAACTGACTCCTTAAAAGCAAACCTAACAGAAACTAAGTATCAATTAATATAAAGTTGTAAAACTAAACCCATGTTTTCATCCTTTATTTTTTAGCGTCGTGTTTGTATTACATAACGACTGCATTCCTCATGGGGAGCTGGCGGGTGAAAACAACACACCTCAACTTTCTGTATTTTAATAAAAGCAATCTTTGTAGTTTAGAACTGCATCAAGTAAGGTTTCCAAAAGGATTCACTTCCTCAAGTAAACCGTGTGACTGGTCCTCGCTCCAGGCAGTAACACCAGGGTCTTCATCGTCAGTTTAAATAGTAGCACGTTGCTAATTAACTGAAAAGCTTTGGATTTCTCTGTTTAGAAGCAAGTGTTAGGACAACGGACAGAAAATGGTTTAAATCATAGAGGCAGATGGGGTTTAGGAGCTCTAGCCAAAGATCACCTGAAAATTTCCCAAAAGTCTATGGACGTTTTTAAGGTTTATGAAATGGATGGAAGAGAACTATTTTTAATACCAACTGCTTTCAAATGAAATAGAAGCTTCTTTTGTTCTGTGAAACACACTGATCTATTTAAATATACAAATGTAGAGCTGGAACAGAGTTTAGGATTCAAGTTAAAGACAGATGAAATGATAGCTCCAGAAATCAACGCGGAAGAATAATAGAAAGGGATGAACGCAAAGGTAACAACCCAGAAAAGTTCAAAACTACGGAGCACAGAAAATAATTATTAGGCATCCTTTCAGTCCATGCTAGGCGTTGCCTAAAGGTCCATTTGAGAATTATTTTATTATATAGAAATGTTCTTTGTCTAGTAAATATGCAGTTTGCATCTCTGCAAAAAAACTGATAATCATACAAATGATTCAGATCCACAAACATACATGCCAATGTTTTTCTAGAGTTCAATTTCTATCCTGTAAAAAAATATAGGACCCCAAACAGTACATATAATTGTCCTGAGAGGTATTGATTATTTTTGATGTGCTAGCATATTAATTTCTCTAATATTTAACAAGTTTATATTTTTCAGCATTCCTCAAAATGTGTACATTTAAAAATTATTCTGTACTAAGTAATGCACTTAAAGTCTTCCTCTTGAAAGTCCATTTTAAAATGGAGATAACTAAGAACCTCATCCTTATGTATTCCTGTGATATTTTAGACATGTATTTGTCTTAAATAATATGTGGAGGGCAAAGAAAGCTTTGAGAGGAAGGCAAAGTCTTTTCACATCACTATTAAATGAAGCAAAAAATTTTAAATGTTAATAATAGATTATTCTTATAGAGTACATTCCATTCTTTTTAAAACAAGATATCTTTCATCATACTGTCATCCTTTACTTTTTAAAAAATTTACTACCACAAAATTGCATTTTGTACAATTAGTATGATACTTATTTTGTTTTAGTGTAAAGCTGTCTCTATAATATTTAGTATCAAATACACAGGTGGCTTTTTTCCGGACTAAAACAGGAAAGGTTTCAAACCATTAAAGATCCAAATCTGACTAATCAATAATTCGTCTGATTAGCAGGCCTGAGGGCCACATACTCCTGTATCCTTCCTTCACTGCAAACCACAGTCCACTTGTTAGACTTTAAACATCTCTTAATTTTGCCAAGTTGCAACAAGTACTCTACAGAGTTCACAGTAGTCCCTGGTTATAAAAAAAATTTGAGTATCAAACCATTTTATTGCCCTAGTGTTCTGATTAAATGAGATCCTTTTACTTAAAAAAGAATATATTTGCTGGGGAACTCGGTGATGTAACACTTCTCTAGCACACACTAGGCCCCGGATTTGATTCCCAGATTCCACCAATCATAAGAATAGTAATCAAAAAGTTAAAAACTAAAATAAATAAACAATATAATTTTTCCCTGCAAGGTACACTAAATTACCATTATTCCTTTCTCATTTGTTTATCTTAACTTTTATTTTCTACCATGATCCAATTACACCTGATGTTCTGACAATTGTTTTCTGTAAAGAAAAAAGAAGGTATATCAATCCAATATTTAACATTACCTTTGAAAGGTTAAAACAATGGTCTATAGAAATTACTAATGAATATTTTATCATCATAAAACCTAGAGCTGAGAAGCTCAGTAATCTTTCCTATAAGAATACTTGTATATTGTCTGATGGGGAACAAATCTGTGTGATTCCCAACTTGGGCAACAATCCTGGTGGTGTCCAAGGTCCTGATGGTAAGATGGGGCTGGCAATAGGTGTAACTGCAGGGACATTTGAACCCATCTCCTATGAAGCTCTAGTCTTTCTTCTTGAAAGAAAACAAAAATAATTCTGTTGCTTTTTGTCTCTCTTTTTTTTAATAAAGTGCTTTTTCACTATTTCATTTTATATGTTACAGTTTCAGGGAATCAAACTGGGGAGGAAAATGAAGTTGCTAGAAAACAGGAATAAAGGTAGGAAAACAACTTCTTTATTCTCTGGCAGTCTGAAAATTAATATTGTAATTAAATTAAGAACTTTCCTTTACTTGCTTTGGAAGAGGTTGCAACCTTATCTCTACATCAAATTAAAACTCAAGCTTTGATGAAGAAAAGCAATTTACATGCAAATAATGGTTTCGGAATATCCATCTTATTTTCTATTCTGTTTTAGTAATTAAAGAGGTGACTTCTTTCTCTTGCACGCAATCTATGCCTCTCAAACCAACTCAGAGCTTATTCCTTGCTCCCCCTTTTGTACCATCTATACTTGCGTTCTTCACCTATCTTATGACTGTATGCTGATTCCTTTCAAAAACATTTTCCTCTGTGTCAGTCAGCTCTCCATCACTATAGCAAATACTTGAGATAGTTAACCTGTGAAGACCAAAGGTTTATTTTTGTCTCACAGGTTTGAAGGCTCTACTCCACCATCCATTGGCCCCATTGCTTTGGAATCATAGGAGGTAGCACCTCAAGGTAGGGAGCATGCAGCAGAAGAAAAGGACTCACTCATGGTCAGGGAATAAATATGAGAAGGGAAAAGGTCTGGTATCCCTTCAAGGACACTGCCACAGAGGTCAAGGACCAATCCTAGACCATAACTTTTAGGATTAACCATCCCTCAATAGCACCACAGCCTGGAAACCAAGGCTTTGTGTCCTGAGGACACAGTCAATATCCAGGCTATGATATCCTCAAGCTCTTCACCTATGGATTGCAGTCTTATATATCTGATGAACTTTTCAACAGATCAGTTTAAATTTCTAATATCATCTCAAAATCGTCCACATGGCCCAGCATCTTCCCCTTCGTATTTGTCACTTGTATTCTTTTCATCTCAGTTTCAAAAGACTTAGAAGCAGCCTGTGTCTGCTCATTCTCCCACACCCTGCCTATCATGTACCAGCAGTTCTTGTGCATTCCATCTTCAAAGATATCCATCCATCCTGAGGACACTTCTGTCTCTGTTTCCTGCTCTCATGCTGTCCAGACTCTACTCTTACCCACTCATGGATCTCCTCGACATAGAACTTGCTCCCTTCAGCCCTCCAGTCAGAATGATCATGTTTAAACTTTATTTAGATCACGTGCTTCTGTTTCTGAACCCCTATTGAATTTACCATTCACACCTATAAAGAAGAACCAAAGTATTTACAATAACTCATAATATCCTAGAACAATGATTCTTTCTCAACCACTCATGATGTTTGCCTACCAGAGGATATTTGGCAGCGTCGAGAGGTATTTTTGATTACCACAATGCAGGGCTAGGAAACATCTGTCACTTCATAGAGTGTCCCATAAAAGCAAGAAAGGCTTTATCAGGCTTCTGGATAACAGTACAAACAGTACAAAATATGAATTTGAAAGTAATCAGCATAAAGACATAAGATTGGGTGAAGAGGGCGAGTACAGATGGTACCAAGGAATGATGAGCCTTTTGCCCACCTCTTTGATGCCTTTGAGAAGCGCTTGACTGGGTTGTTTTGTTTCTTTTTGCTGGCTGCAGAAATGGCCCAGTGAGAGCTAAGGAGCAGTCTGCCACGGTGGAATTCTCAGGTCTTCTTCAGGCTTGAGTACAGTACTTTGATTTCATTTTGATTCCATAATCACCAGAAAAGTCCTTTTTAAAATTCGTAGGCCTGCAATCAAGGACCGTGGTATTGACTAATTAGTTCCCATTTCTGACTCCCCGTGTGTGTGTTGTTTATCCTTGAATGATGGTGCAACAGACAAAAGGTGGCTGCTCCTTAAGAGAGAGAAATCATTCAGATACCTGCCTGGCACCTTTCCTCTTGGCAACACTGAAAGCATCCCAACTATGGAGAAACATCAGTATATTCTCCATTTGTCTTTACTAGACACCTCCAGAGAACTGCAGGTTGGGGCCCAGTCAATCTCCATAGTTTGGAGAGGGAAGTCCAACTCTTCACCATGGAGCACAGATGAAATGGCTATTGCTTTTACTGTCCATTATAAACACTGCCACACTCATTCAGCAGACATTCAAAGGTTAAACATTCCAATCCCCTTCCCTTGATGGTGACCTCATATGAGTTGGTCAGTTTTACTCAAAACAAGCAGGACTGACCCCTTAACTGGAATGTCACTAGGGTTCCTACTGGAATCTGGCAAGCCAGCAGGCACACTGTGTCCTCCTATCTTTTGAGGCCAATGTGAGCTGCTCAAATGGAGAGCTAAGAATCCTTCTTCAGACCTCCAAGGGGACTCAAGAAATCTTGATGGCACACCTTCCTGTTGGGACATGGAGAGGTCCCTGCTCCATCCACGAATGCCATGACTGGTGACCAAAGAGGTCAACATGATCAGTCTTCCCAGCCAGTGCATCAGACACAATGGCAAACAGAAACACCAAAACAACCCAAGATTTGGAGGCAGATTTACTTACACCAGCAGGCACTGATTGGGATCAGTCCCACAATATCAGGCCCCAGTCTCTGGTGGAGTTTGCAAGTGGGAAGCATACAGAAACAGAGTGCTTGGATGTCTTTGATTGTTTCTTGCACTATGCATCGTAGTGACCAGCTTTGTATCACAGTGCTCAGCTACTTCTAAGAAACAGAAGTAACAGATCTGATACCTGGACAGCTAACAGAAACTGAAGTATACTGGATGAGGAGGGCATTTTCTGCTATAGGTTTAGTCAATAAATAATCAAAAAGGTGACATTTTATATCAAAAGCTAAATTTCATTTCTCAGAGATTTACAAATGAAATAATTGCTATTCTACCAATAATAAATTATTATTTTATTATAATAATAATTTACATTTACAATGACTATTTTTCTGTTTTCATTTTTAAATTTAAGAAACTCTTTAGTATGTAAAATAAGACAGTTGATAGTGTCATAACCTATTACACACTATGTAGTTCTCTGTAGAACTAATCTATTACCCCAAGTTTGAATCATTTGAAGTAACACCATAAAAAGCAAGAGGGGTTCTACAGTATCACTTTGTCATCAGGTGAGGGCACATTGAAGATTTTTAAATCCTAGACATGTAGTGGAATTCCTGGAGCACAGTTGGGATAATGCTTCAGATTCCTCATAAATGAATGATGTGCCTTTACTTTGTCTTAACCCACAAATATCAAGTCACTTACATAATGGATTTCTAAAGCAATCTCTTTTTATTTGACTGAGGCATATGATGAGATAGTAGATGCAGTCATTCAGGCAGATTCCTTGACAAAGCTCTCCTAAATAGAATCACCTTAGAGAATTCACCACTGCCCACATTGATCCTGTGGAGTGCTCACAAATGAAAGATGTAGAGTCCAGTATCGATTCTGTGAGTATTTTATTTGGCTTGCACAAATATCTTGATTTCTCATATTTTTAATCAAATCAATTGTCAATGTTAAAACAGTTCACATAAAATTCTGGATTTTCTACTTCTTCAGACACAGTAAAAGCTTCATCAGGAATCAAGTGATAGGTGCTCCTTCCATACTAAATATGCAATCTGTCAAATTTTGTTTTGCTTTGTTTTTTGCTATTCCTTGTGGCCAGTGTCCTGTTTGCTTATTCGCTTAAATTCTCTGGCTTCCATACGAACCTGTGTCTTAAAAAGTGTCCTGAAGCAAAAGCACTTAAAAGCCTTCATCTCGAGACCCCTTTGACGATACTGTTGACAGTTGCACAGAGGTTTGGTTTCTGTAGTTTACATCCGCTGATACATTCTGATATTGGAAATCCAAGCTGAGAGATGTTTCATTATATCCATTACTTGATAAGACAAACAACATGAAAAATTTCTATTTTCCAAAACAAACAAAAAGTGAGTGGAGTGGCAGCACTTACCAAGTTTCTTTCATATCTGGCTTACAAGAAGTCCCCATGGATCTTCATACAACCTACGCTGATGAATTATTTTCATGCAAAAATTGGGTCCCATGTAGATATGTAGCTGGAGGAAATGAGTAGCAGTTTGTTAATCTTTCAGATAGCTTTAAATTTTTCTTTAATAATACACGAGAACACTGAAAATGGTAGTATGAAATCATATCAATAATTTTTCATCATCTGTTGCATTAAAATTCACTGGTGTATTCTGCATTTTCAGTAGATATTTTACTCATGCATGATTTGTAACATCATCTATTGGTATTTAGAAAATATTGTTTCACTGAACTTTACAGGTATAGCAAAAGTTGATGCATCTTATTATGAAAAATGTTATTATGATATGTTAAAAAGCATGAGATAGTATAACTGCTGATCTCATTAGAAAAGCGTGGCTGATAAAAGTTATTCAAAATTATAAATTTTACTCTAAAGATAAAATTCTACCTTTGGAATATATCAAATATTGTCAACTGTTTCCTGAAACTAATGGGATTTGTTCACTTTCAAAAATATATCTGCAAAATATCAAGTAAAAATAACCCCTGGTTACCTCCGTTTTTCAGGTAAGCAGAATGTTTCACGAGAAAAATGAATTTGTTCAGTTCACAAATGTTTCTTATCAGTTCTACGTCCTCGTGTCTACAGGACATGCCCTACTGCTCTAGGATGTTGTTCATTGTATCAACTTGAGAAATTTAGTTTAGCTAAGTGATTCAGCAGGGGCTCAGGGTCCTCACTTTGTAAACATTCTGAGCCTGTGCAAGAGAAGGGCACTGAAATGGCGTAAGTGCCACACTCATCTGAGGGAAGATAATGTGCATACAATATAACAGAGGAAAAGACCTTGCTTCCCTACCCCCAGTTTGCTCTTGTTGCTTTTGTGTCTTCTGCCATCTTGAACTGTTGTCCTTGTGCCATGCCACCCTGCCTAGGAGCTGAAACTTCCATGAACTGAACTACATGAAACCTTTTCCTCTTTACTATTGGATTTTGGATATTTTGTCTCAGCAATGAAAGAAAAGTAACCAAAACAGCATTCTTTTGGATTAATCAACTTGCTCAATTAGCATGTTTCTTTACCTACAGAACCAATTATTTC